CCCAGGTTAGGAGATGAGCAGCAACATCATCCTGATAATAACAGAAAAAAAATTCAGTTGTCAACCTCTCTGCCAAGCATGGTGGAGGAGGAGGGCTATGTTCAACAGTTGACATAATAGGCTGTACCTAATGAATAAAAAAATATATTCATTCTCTCTTTTTCATAATTTGTTTCTTTCTCTCTTTCTTTACTTAAAGAGCCGTGATAGCTCATATGGTTAGCGCTCGCTGTAAGCTTCAAAATACTCGAGCAACCCGGGTTCGATCCCCGCCGGCACCAAAGAAATTATTAATTGCAATTTTAAGTGCTGATTTACCACGTGCTCGGCGGTGAAGGAAACCATCGTGAGGAAACCTGCATGTCTGTATAATATAAATAAAATAAATAAGAAAAAAAATATTTCGAAGACCCTCTCAGAAATGAGAGCAGGCCTGTGCCCAGCAGTGGGACGTAAATAGGCTGTAACTTTACTTTACTTTACTTTTACTTTTTACAAGTATGTATAAAGATCTTCCATGCATTTCCGACACTGCTTGTCGGTATGAAAACCTTTTTCTTCCCTACCACATTGCGGAAAGAAACTAAATACTAAAGTTACTGCTTTGCTTTTAGATTTCATAATATAGGTAAGCTCATATTTCAAAAACTTTACCGTCCTGTTTGAGCCGTGCCGAGCAGTACAAATTTTTCTCCATACTCGTAGCGCTAAAGATTTTCAGAAATGAAAAATATTGTTTAAAATAACTTTCATATTCAATGTTATTCTTTACTTTAATGGGACCAGTAATTTACCAAAACTTTTACTTTACCTATATCAAAACTTTATTTTTCGTGTAATTCGTCCTTACTCATATATCTAAGTTATGCTCAGCAGAGCGGGACAGTATTTCATGCCGGCACACCGCCTGCAACTTTACAAGGCGCAGGTTCGGCCTCACATGGAATACTGTTCCCATCTCTGGGCAGGGGCTCCCCAGTGCCAGCTCCTTCCACTTGACCGCATCCAGCGCAGAGCGGCTCGAATCGTCGACGACCGAGCCCTTTCCGATGGGCTCGATTCATTGGCACTGCGAAGAGATGTTGCATCTCTTTGCATTTTCTTTCGCATCTACCATGGGGAGTGCTCTGAGGAATTGTTCGGATTAATCCCAGCCGCCAAATTTCACGAACGCACATCGCGGCAGAACTCCCGATACCATCCACACCATCTGGATGATTGGCGGTCCACCACTGTGCGATTTAGAAGATGTTTTCTTCCTCGCACAACTTCCTTGTGGAATAGTTTACCACCAGGGATTTTTCCGGACCGATACGACTTAGGGACCTTCAAGAAAAGAGCCTACTCCTTTTTAAAAGGCCGGCAACGCATCTGCAATTCCCCTGGTGTTGCGGTTGTTCATGGGCGGCGGTAGTCACTTACCATCAGGTGAGCCGCATGCTCGTTTGCCCCCTCTCCTATAAAAAAAAAAAAAAAAAAAAAAAATGTAGTTTGCATCAAAGCGCCTGTCTTTGCATGAATAGGTCACCAAGTAAGCATCATTAGGAAGGTTTGCTTATACTCACCACAGTGATCCGGTTATACGAAATACAACATTTAAGTGCTAAGTTTCCATGTGAAGGAAAATATTGTAAGGACTGTGCATCTAAAATTTTAATAAAAATATAAAATATAAATAAATATATTTCGAGGATATATGATGTGATTTGGGGTTGGGGCAGCACAGTGGACTCTTCCCTACTGTGAAACCGTATCAGCAAAGAGACGAATCCTGTGGCCAGCAGTCGAACTGTTTAGAGTGCTAGTTATTTAAAATGGGTCTTCATTCATTATTGGTCGTTGGATTTAGAAAAAATATTAGTATAATCCCTTCCACCTGTAAAAATTTAAGATGAAAAGGTACTTCACTTTTAATGTCTCTTATCAAACATTCAAACACGTATAAATTTTAACCATATTTTAATACTCCTGAACAACACAACATTCGTGCTAGTTTAGTGTTTACGAATGCACAAGCCGTCGCTAGCTCTCTTCTCTACAAAGCGAATAGGATAGATATGTATAAAGGGCGCGCGCAATCGAGCCGCAGACCTCACTTTCCCCGGCGATACTAAAAATAGACGCTCGCAACAGAGTAGCCAACCGTCGCACTTCACAAAACTGGGGTAACTTAAAGAAACTATTCTACGCATTTAAGTCTACTTGCGTGAAATATTGCGGAAAGTTGGCTTCCATCAAGAGATTTAAACAAAATGAATTCCTTAGACGCTGTATCATTTTATATCTTTTGCTGGTAGCATAATTTGTGGCAATACCTAATTTTTTTTTGGTTATGAATTTAAAAGCATACATATTGGTTAGATTATTTATATTGTTGTATCGACATTAAAACAGCTACTACCTCATATCATCCCAAGGGTTTCGTAAAAAACGGCAAAGGATACGAAGTCAAGAGATGGACATCAGCAGACTCCTGATAACACCTTAATAATAAAAATAAAAAGCTGTGGCTATATGTACATCCCCTCATTAGAAACGATTCAAAAAATTGGCCCCCAGTCCCTGGTGACCCCCTGGTTTCGATGGCGATCAGCGGGGGAGGGGTGTTAAGAATTTCTGGCAGAGGTTCGGTCGACAGCTTTGGCCTGACAACATTTAGTGCATATACACTGCGTATTGACGAGAAGATCCTGGAGTTTGAACAAGGGATAGTCTTCAAATCCAGCAACTTGTTCTATCGTCGAGAGGGTGACCATTTGTACGAAGGATGTGTCGGATTTACCACTGACAAGGATTACAAATCTTCCTCAGAATAACCAAACGGTATTCGTTTAATGTCATGTATAGCGTTGAGGATAACCAAGGATAATCGAGGCAATGCATGCATTTCACCAAAACCCAAAATACAGTGTTGTTAGTAGACTTCTATGCAAAACACGATGGTGAGTTAAAGGTTGGCAAATTTGGTATAGGGGGGTAAGGAAACCTAACTGGTCAAAGGCTGGCTGACTTCACGGGGAAAGAACTGTTTATGATGAACTCCTTCTTCCAGAAACGGCCTCCCAGAATGTAGATCTGGTGCAGCCCAACTGATCGACAAAAAAAATAGATTAACTTCTTTATTCAGTGAATTCTTAGTATTCGCGAGGGTAAAAACTGATAGTGATCACCAAATGGTTATAGGCACAGTTAATGCTCCGCCCCCTTTGTTCTCTAATCCAAACAAAAGATTACAATTAGTGAAGTATATATACAGTGGACTATATAAATGACAAGCTCGTAGAAACCGTCCTTACGTTCGGAGCTAAGTTTTGCAAGACCTGCCGCAGAGAAACTTAAAAAGACTACGATCAATCTCTTAATTTAATAGCAACATAACAGCATACAGGCTACTGAAAAAAAACTACTGAAATAGATCTCTAAATGCATGCGACAAGTCCCGCGTAACATCAATAAAGCTCGTATTGAAAAAGCGATTGAGCGGAACTAAGGATCGGAAGCGGATCTTAAGTCTTTGTCCGAGATTTCTCTGCCAGAAAGAGGCACCTGCCTAAGTTAAACAGTGGTAGAGCCACGTGGCAGCTTTTGCTGTCGCACGGATGGGCCGGCTCGAACCGGGGTGGTACCACAACCTCACAGAATACCAGGGTGAAGTAGAGGTTTACCTCTGCGTTTCGCTTGGTGAGTGCAGGTGGCCGGAGGCCCTTTTTACTGGAAATGAAGCATTCCATCTTAGTCCTCACGGGTGACAACGCATTTGCATTTTAATTCACAAAGGAGGATAGATGTAGATGTCTATGGGCCGCAGCAACCACTTACCATCAGGTGGACTGTGTGCTCGTTTGTCACCCTTATCCTATAAAAAAAAAGTTAAAGGCCAACTGTAACAGCGTCATTACCACGACACCTGAGATTTTGAGTAAGATTGAGAGATTCTGCAGACAACTATCGTATGGTGTCGCTGTGGATGTCGTTCAGCACTATCACACCACGGCCTAGTATAATAGTATAATAGCTGACTACGCTACGGGGATAACCGGACTGCAAGAAATTAACGATCTATTGTTACCACAATATGCTTGAACGACCGAGATGCTTAGATACTTAGATACTTTTGACGTGGTAGGGCCATGCTACAGCTATATTAGTAGTATAGTTGTAGCACGAATGGGTCGGCTCGACCGGGGACCACGCTCTCACAAAATACCAGCGTAAAATAGCAGCTTAACGCTGCATGTTTCTTTTGGTGAGTGTAGAGAACCAGAGACCCTTTTTACTGGAAAAGAGGCATTCCATCTTAGTATTCACGGGTGAAAACGCATCTGCATTTTGATTCTTTATTGAGGATAGATGTAGATGTCTGTGGGTCACAGCAACCACTTACCACCAGGTGGAAAAGAAAAGATAGGCAACTGAAAGAGACAACTGCAGCTCCGAACTGAAAAACCTATGAAAAAATGAAGAAAACATCATCGCGTATTTTATTTAGATTCCTAATTCAAAGGTTTCTGTTTTTTTAGTTTCTGTTATTTAGTTGACTTCGATTGCTTCTTATATTTTAAGATTTTTTTTAAATTTATCAATACTTTTTTATTTGTTTCATAGATAATTTACCCAAAGATTAGGGTAGTTTATAGAATAACCTTAAAATATTCATACCTATAAATATTTCTAAATTAACCATTTTTTTTTTTGTATTATCATACACAATACGAGTAGATTCATTTCACAAAATGTTTACTGTACAAACTTGGCACTAATAAAAACATTTAAAAGTTAATTTTACAAAATCTACCAAATGCTTACTTACAATTGTTCCAAATGCTTACTTACAAGTGTTAAACAATTGTTCGTGGAAGTACATGCATTTAACTAATGCAGCAACATTCGTATGGTTAAGCAGATTATATTCCTTTAATTATTAACAATAATGTAAAAGAATTGAAAAGGGGATGTTTGCTTGTATAAATATAAAATCTTATGGAGAAATTTCTTTACAGAATGTCCGCCAGCAGCTGATGGTATGGAAAGATTCGCATGTCCGACACCAGACCGTCAAGGACGCTACCGCTGTATAGATGACCACGTTCTTTGCGATGGCTTCATCGATTGTCCAAACGGCGAAGACGAAGACCGACAGGCCTGCATGTTTTATAAAACAGTGCGTACTTTACAACCTTAACTACAGAATAGATAATAGTACAAGTACCTTAACATATTACATAATAAACTCAATATTATTTATGCTCGATTATCATTATATCAATGCAGTACATAAAACACACAACTGAAATAGAACCTAAAATAACTCTATTATCGATTACAGTCTTTTATTTTGTTTGATAGTTGGCACTTTTTTATTTCTTAAAAATTATTGCTTAATAAATCTTAAATATAACTGAGAATTCAAAACTTCTACATTACCTACCATTCTTTGTAGAAGTTTCGACATAATATTTCCTGCTCGTTAAGTATGTGCCAAGTTATTAACTATAAACAATATCAAATTGTTTGCCTGGAGAAAGCCTATGTTCTTGTTTAAGGCGTGTGTCTTTATATATAGGCTATACAGGCTCTATCTATGCAACAGTTGACGCGGCTGTTGTGATGATGAACATAATGATATACCGTAATAATTATACTTATTATTTGCATTTCAGACAAAGGCCCATCTCGACGTGTTAGCAGATGCCCTCTTACGGTGGGCACGCGGACGTTAAGCATCACATCCCTCCCTAAACCCGCCCCTGTGCTCCTCAAACCCGACAGTGCTGCACGGACTTCAAACAGACTGACCTTCGATCAATTAACCATGTGCTATATTATTAAATAGAGTTCAGTGGAAGCTGCGAACATGACACAACAATATTCGGGCGCAACCAGCAATACGTGTTAATGCGTTGAAATCAATGAAACATATCAAGAAGTGGTGCACTCTATGCCGAAAAAATGACCACTTAAAGTGTAGTGTAAGGATTCCGATTGCAAATGGACCGGTACCGTAAACGTGCAACTGCGCGTGCGCGGACCTCCAGCACTTGCATTGGAAGGAAGGTTATAGAGTGATACGATCTGGTTTCGTCCTAATACTCTACCTGCAGCTGATTTGTCCCCAATTATTTCGTACCTTCTAGCTACTTATTAAACTAAAATGTGAGACTGGTAGTCGACATTGTTAGTCGGTAGAACAAACATATTATACATAAATAATTTAGAATTAAAGTTCTTCATTTCACGATACATAAATGTTATTGTCTATTTGTTAAAATATTTATTCACTCTATATATTTACGTACTCTATGTTAAGTTAATGCATTCCTTGTATTAATGAGGGTTGTAAAGTAAATAGGAGAACTATAAAAATTTGTACATAATTATACTTAATTATTTATCTACATTGATTTTAATTATCGGCCTATGTACGACGGGCGAAAGAAATTTTCTATAACTGTGTACGTTTTGTATGCGATCGCCTTATGAGACAATTATTTAAAATTGAATATACTTATTATTTTATAGTTACGAGTATTATTTTGTCAAAGAGGTGTTCTTAACGAAAGTGCGGTTCGATTGTTATATGACCATAGTTTTCATTATGGCAGCTATTGATGACCGTTATTCCATATTTAACATTCTGTAAATGTATAATTTTGTTTTAGGGATATAGTGTAATAGTTGAATTAATTAACTGTGCTCTACATACAACCAGCACATTGTTTTGACTGAACGAGATCGTTGTTATCATTTGCCGAAGAAGTCTGAACTGTTATCGAGTCTAGTCATGAATCAGTTCCTATACATAGTTTGTCTACACATAATAATAATTTTATACACTGTTTGTTTTAAGTAGGAAATTTACAATCAATTAAATTTATATTTGGGGTACCTAAAGTATTGTTCTTTAGAATTTTATTTGTTTGTTCTGTTATATATTTTGCTACATCTGCCACCATAACAAGACTAAAATATCGCCATCGTTATAAACATATATAAGTGTCACTATGAAATAATATAAAATTTGCTCGATATTTTACCTGCTACAAATTTTACTAATGTTCACATCCGAAAAGTTATAGTATGATTAGTAGTGGATTAATTAAGTACATACTATAATATAATTCTAATTTTAATAGTTTAGTTCAATAATTAGCGTACCGTAATTAATAGCAATTTTAATAAATTATATATCATATTAAATGTAATGTACTCAAAAAAGACCTATAAGATTTTAATTAAGCGTATATATGTAGTTGTTATAGCGCTAAATGTTTAAATAGATATTCATTCAACCATTCATATATAAATGTATGTATTGCACAAAGTTATTCTCTGATATTGATATTGTGGATAGATACCTTAGCACCAAATTTCAATGTGTAGTGAATTAGATAAATAGAATAAAGTAAATTGGTGTTTATAGAAAATAATAATTTAATAAATATTTGCTTTATTGGATCACTAAAAATATGATGCGATAATCTTATTAATTAATAAGTAAATAAATAAACAAGAAGAATAATATGTTAATTAAGGATAAATCTTAGGGATGTGAACATAACGTAAATGAAATGATAAATCCACGTAAGACACAGGAGGCGCATCAAAGCACGGAGTCGTTATCCTAATTTAACATTTAATTTAAAAAAAATTATATTTCTCGAGTTAAAAGTTAGTGATAACCGCAGACTAAATTCCAAATAAATACCGCTATAGTCTGTTAGAACGTAGGTTCTTGAGCCATCAGTCTTAGCGGTATTTAGGTTCCAAACCCAATTTTCAAATTACAGTGTTATACATAACGGACAAGTAATGAACTTGCCTTGCTTTGATGTGTAAGTCTCATTGTGGATTTATCGTAAATAACATTTCAACACAATAAGATATTCGAATCCAATCGCCAACATTACTCGTGAACAGTGAAAATTACACTTATGAAATGTGATCTAACTGGTCAACATTACTCTGAAAGCTGAAAGTGACACTTATGAAATGTGCATTCATAATGTTATGTATTTTTACTTTATGTAATAACCAAACTTTAGTAGATACCGATATTTACTATAATACATAATTTTGCAACCCTCTTCTATACCTTTCTCCTTACTTTAATATTATACTTCTCTTTCGACGATGAACGTAATGAATACTGCCTAGGTACCTCAGCATTTATTTTATTTTATTTATTTTAGTTTGTGCACTGCAACATATTGAACGTTTTTTTGACTTTTCGGCGACGTTATCATTCATACATATATGTGGTATTAATAGATACTAATTAAATCTATAATTTCCTAAATGTATATGATTTATTAGTACTTAAAGGTATTGCTAAAATATATTAATGTAACTGCACTCAAAATTTGCCTGTTTCGTATGTGCACAGCAATTTATTGTGATATTTTAAATATTATAGGTTAAGATGCAAATCATGATATCGAGTATAGACTATGTACCTATCAATGTGATTATTACCTTATTTAAATACTTGTAATATGTCTAATTACCCTTTGTCATTATTCAAGGTTTTTTTATACATCATATTTATAACTATTTCTAATTTTTAAGCTCCTATTAATTTAAATCTAAATTTCGTCATAACTTGTAAACGATTAGCAATTTTCAGTCAATTTTCTGTACATAGTGGAAAAAGATACCGTTGATGTACAATGTCTACTCATGAAATTTTAACGCAGTTTTCATTGCATTCGTTATGGATATAAAGATGAGAGTTGCAAATATTTCCAAACAGCCTGAAGCACTTTTATTATCAGCATTATCTTCCTTCACACCTGCTTTTTCACACATAACATTCGTTAAAATTAAAGCACAAAAAAACGCACACCTCTAGCACCGCAAAGGCAAATAAATAATAATTTGAAGCGTACTATCGACGTGCTTTACGATTATTATTATTTCAATCAGTCCGCCTCTTGCTCATGCAAGTCAATTAGAATACTCTGACATTTTTTTTTAATCGAATTTACATTAAGTTTAGGTAGAACGATACTACTTTTCGTAACATATTTTACGAAAGTTGTATCCACCTGCTGAAAACGGTTAACCTGTGCGCTCAATCGGGAGAAAACTTCAAGTTTGCTTATTGTTTAAGACTAATTAAAAATATTTTTAGATGTCACACTTGTAATTGTTACTCTATATACTTACACTTCTGTTGATCAATCAATTTGTAAAAAGAGAATTTTTCATAAAAGCATTGTCTATAAATTTGTATGCCACTTTCAACAGACATATTATTGAATGCATAACTTCAGCTGATTTCAAAACAATATTATTTACAAATGCAACTATTTTTGTAGATACTTATATACGTTTGATTACCACTAGATAGAGATTTACATATTATATTTTCTCATGATGTTATGTTTGCCAAAAAAGACAAACAATAAATTATCCTTTAATACCGCACAAAATAATATCTTTAAAAGTGTAAAATGATTGAACAACTGTTATTAGTTTACAAGGCAGTTAAAAACAACACCTTACTACAAAGTTACTGGGTTTGTCCTAATAAACATTTGGATAGTCGTCACTACATCGCTTATCATAAAAATGGAATACTTCCAGGAGAACATAGGAAAATGCAACAATTGGCCATATAAACAACCATACAACATACATTAAACACCAACATTTTGCTAGATTTACGACACCTTCACAATCTTCCTTCTCTCTGAGAAAATTCCTATACCTTCGACAGTGTCATAGATGAGTTGGCTTAACATTTCGTAGAACGTGTGTAAGCAACTCACATGGCGATAATCTTATAACGACTACGCTATTTTGTAGGCGTAATATACTTTTGGACTATTTATTATGTATTGTTAATTACTATATATGTTGTATTAAGATAAAAAATTGAAAAATAAATGTTAATAAATGCCTCAGCCAGACGTCTGCTTAGTTTTAATTCTGATCCAATCTATTTTATTTTCCTTTAACTAAATTATTTGTTTGCCAGCCGGTAGTGGCGGTGTAAGGATATCCACTACCCCATATCATCTCGTGAACGTCATAAGAGGCGACAGAGGGAAACAAATCAGGAGATGGGCAGCAGCGTCTTCTTAGTAACGACTGTGGTTGCCAACCCGCTTGCCAAGCGTGGCAACTATGGCAAATATACTCCCTATGATATTAGATTTTGTTAATTATTAGATTTTATACGTGGTAGAGCCATGCTGCAGCTATATTAGTAGTATAGTTGTAGTACGAATGGGTCGGCTTGACCGGGGATGGACCACGCTCTCACAGAATACTAGCGTAAAATAGCAGTTTAACACTGATGTGTTTCGTATAGTGAGTGTAGAGACCCGGAGACCCTTTTTACTGGAAAAGAGGCATTCCAACTTAGTCCTCACGGGTGACAACGCATCTACATTTTGATTCGCAAACGAGGATAAATGTAGATGTCTATGGGTCACAGCAACCACTTACCATCAGGTGGACTGTGTGCTCGTTTGCCACCCTATTTCTATAAAAAAAAATATGAGGCCTCTATGGGAAGACCTATGTTCAGCAGTGGACTTTAATAGGCTGTAACGGTAACGATAAATTGTTTGTTTAAGATGAACATGTGAATTCCAATCATATTCATATGAATATAAAAAGTTGATGTAAAGTTACAGCCTATATACGCCCTATTGGGCACAGGCTTCCTCTCATTTTGCAGACAATTTTTGTGTTTGTGGACTTTACAGATCCT